GGCCAGGTTCCCAATACTTCTTGTCCCACTGGCACAGTCTCCTGCGTCTGACCTGGTGACTTCCAGAACCCCATGACATCCCACGGCTGCCACAGTCCTGATGGCACGTGAGGACACAGCGCCCTCTCAGGACTGCTCCCAGGGAGCAAAGGCTGACTCAGCAGGACACATCCAGGGCCCAGCCTCACCTCAGGCCACAGCCAGTGGCTACTGCTGCCTCCCTGGGGCAGGCATGCTCCTGCCTCAGGGACCAGGCCCAGGTGAGCATATACTGCTGTCCTTAAGGCCTCTCTCCCTGAGGTCTCCCGCTGACCACCCTCCCTAAAATTGGAACCCCCGCCCCAACACTCCCTCTCTTTGCATTCCTGGGCTGCATGGCATCCACCACTGCCTGCTACCTGTCTACCTTAAGGGTCAAGGGTAGGGGCCATGGCTGTCTGTTCCCTGCAGTCCCTGTAGCCGGCCAGTCTCACCAGTTACTCAGTGATGTTTGAAGCTGTAGTGGCTTCAGCACCTGGTAAATGCTGAGCTCAGGCCTATAGCCTCTGATGAAGCTTCTGACTGTCCTCAGTTTTGAAGACACTGATGCTACCTAATGGGAAGGGTAGAGGGGAAGCCGCTGCTCTCCTCCCTCAGGCTACTCTTCCTCCTTTGCAAGTCCCTAGATGGGCTTCTCCCTGCTGACCACTGCTGTCCCCCTTACCCTATGCTCTCTGCTGGGATTCTCATACTTGGGCCCCTCTCTGCCAGCACCTGCTCCAAAACCTTCACACTTGACCCACTGCGCCATCTGCAGGTCTCAGGCCAGCAACCTTGGGCTAGTTCAGGCCACCTCTGATGATCCCCTCTGCCACCAAAGCATCCTACTGTGTGTTGCCCCGTCCACCACCAGTCTCCTTCAGACAGCTTTTCAGACCATAGGACACCAGCACAGCCCCAACCCAGGACCCTCTCTGCTGCCCTGGCACTTCTACCAGGGACTCCCCTCAGCCCTGAACCACCCAGATCTCCCTCCCAGCAGTGTGAGGACCCTTATTGTATAGCCTCACTTATTTTTGTTTCCATAGCAAGCAGCTCTTTCTGACAACTCATGAAATGTGGGTTGTAGAAGTATCTATCATCCCTTCTCTCTGTCTGCCCAGTGAGGTCTGTGGGGCCATCCTGGGTACCAGTACTGTCACCTGAGCTCCTCCCACATGTGCTTCAGGACAGGTCAAGGGCAGAGTGACAAGAGCCCCTCAGGCTAAAAAGAAGCAAAGTGATAGCTCTCTGTCCTCTCTGTCCTCTCTGTCCTCCTCTGCTCTAGGTAGGGCCTGGCAAAATTTTGACCCCTGTGGGACTTATCAGGAACCTCTCTGGTTCTGGGCCAGAGATCAGCTGCCCACAGACATGGAACCACAGTGGCAATGACCATGCCATGAACACACTTGACACTCACTAGACCTGAGTCTTTCTCTGGATACACAGTTTTCAAGCACTGAATCTGAAAACGTGTATCAGGGCTCCAGGACTCCTACACATGGCTCATGAACCGTCCAGCCCCAGGCTGTGCTGCTGAGCCTGCCAAGAGAGTCACACCCAAGTGCTAATCCTTCAGTGCACAGCTGAAATAAGTAAGGCCACAAAGAAAGAGGCCACATAAGCAAGACCAGAGTATGGCATACAAGGTCTGAGAACATGACAAGGCCACAGCAAGACAGGGCCACAGCATTCTCAGCCCCAGAACAGGCTGAGAGTCTCCCATCAGGAGCTTGTCCCTCTGATGGGCAGTGGCTTAGGGTCAGAACATAAAGCACCATGCGGCCCAGCCAGGACACCACAGAAGACAAAGTGATGCCCTCCCAGAGACTGTGGACCCTGAAACAAGACCACATTAGGGAGTGCAAGGGTTGTCTCCTTCTGTCCATGCTACACGATGCACAGTGACACCCAGCTTTCTGCAGCAGACTGAGGCCTCCTTCTGCTGATTGGAGGTCTACATCCTCCCTGGCACACTTGGTGCAGCCCTGCTCCAGGGCAAATCTGGTAGAAGTGGGCCAAACAGTGTGGAGGCCACACTGAGCAGGGTGTGCAGCAGACGTGGGACGGAAGCACCACACAACCACTAGATGTCACCCAAAATGAAGGACAGCAAAAAAACCATGAGCAGGATGAGGAACTGGAGGTCACAACAAGGAAAACATGACTCCTGCCCTTCCGTGCAGGTCCCACTTCCGTCCAGGTTGTTGCCCATCATGTGGCAGTCACACAGCAGGAGAAGAAGCAATGCAGTCAGTGTCTGCAGGACCTGTGGGTCCCTGAGTTACTCCGAGTGTTGACGACCACTACACTCCTCTACTGCCCGGGCCTCCCAATGTGGTCTACGCCATGTGCAGCCAAACACTCACCTTAAGGCTTGTACCAGGTTGAGATCAGCAAACTCATGGAGTTCAACAAAAGCCTGAAGAACTTTGATATTAAATTCATCCCTTCGAGAGAGTGGAAACAAGTTTTCAAGGCTCAATAACTTTAAAAGAAAGCCACATCCTAGCCCAGCACAGGAGCTCATGCCTATCATCCAAGCCCTCTGGACCAGAGGCAAGAGGATCACAAGTCTGAGCCCAGCTTGGGCACCTTAATGATTTAGTGAGAATCTGTCTCAAAATAAACACAAAAGAGAAGAGGGGAGGGGAAAAGAGGGAAGGGGCAGGGAAGGAAGGACAGAGGAGCAGAGGGGAGGGGAGGAGAGGGGAAGGGCTCAGTGCAAAGGCCTTGTGTTCAATTCTCATAGTAGAAAAAAGAAAAACCACCATATTCTCTAGCACATTTTTGCACTTTGAATTTTGTATGATTACAAATTAAGATTTTCTTCACTATAAGTCTGTCTTTAGGCTTAACGTAAAAGAGAATACATAGAATACTAGGGGTATACCCAAGAATCAATTATGTCAGGAAGGACACCCTTATAAAGTCCATAATGACAAAGGCCATTCCCAACTCTGAGCGCCAGAGCATCAAGATGGAAGGCTGCCCAATGCTCAGGGTGTGTCCTGCAGCCTTCATAATGACCCCAAGCCCAGGTCAAGTCCACAAATTGAAAGGTTTATGCTGGCTCAGAAAGTATGGGAAAGAAACAATATCTTACATTAGCTTTTTAAAAATAAACACAAAAAGGCAGTAAAAAGTGTAAAATCTATTTAAATACAACAAAAACCAAAATGATATAGCAACGTACTTCACTAAATTTTAACTTGAAGATGCTGCTGCAGGTCCCGGTCATGATGTTCACTGAGGAGCCCCAGCAGCAGAACGCTGAGGTCCACCTACCCTGTCTCAGGGCTGGCAGTGACACAGGCTATTTGGAATTCATGTAGCCCAGCACTCTCCAGCCAAACACCTGTCTCTGGCCAAGCATGGAAGACACCTGTAACTAGCTCTCCGCAGGTGGACAAACAAGACCTGACCTGAGAACCACAGCATTCACTCCCTGGCTAAGTGCACAGCCCATCTGTTGGGAGCTCTGTAAAGGCCTCAGCTATGCACACACTCACCTGGGGGAGGCTGGCTCCGTCCTGGCTCACAAGTTGTCTGGGTGGAGCCAGTGTGGGGCCCTCCACGCAGGCAGAGGGAACAAAGGGTAAGTCCCGCCACTCCTTCCCACTCCGCTTTCACGGGTCCTCACTCCCACACTGGCCTGGGGTCTTCAGGGCTCAGTCTTTGGCTCATCCTCTTCTCTATCCACACCATTCCCAGGGGACTATAATACAGGCTGAGTATCCCTAATCTGAAAACCCAAGGTGCTCAAAAATCTAAAATTTGAGTACCATGTCAGTGCTCCAAAAATTTCGTATTTCACAGTGATTAGAGTTTTAGATGATGAACTGGTAGACTTCTTTATATATCCTACCTCTGTCCTTATCTGATGTATATACAATTTGCAAATGTCTTCTGTTTAGAGGGTTATCATTTCACTTTCTTGCTGATGTCATCTGAAGCACAAAATATTTAACTTTGGTGATGCTGTTTTACTTATTTTTTTGTTGTTATGCTTTCCGTGTTGGATCTAAGAAACTGGCATAAATCAAGATCACAAAGATTTATGCCTGTTTTCTTCTATTTTATATTTTTACTTCTTACATTTAGGGTCTTTGCTCCCTTTTAATTTTTACATAAATCTGAGTACCATTTGTGAAAAGACTATTCTTTATCCCACTGAACTGTCATAGAACATTTGTTAAAAAATCATTGGACATTAACTGTAAGAGTTTATTTCTGGACTTTCAATTCTATATGACTTTCCATATGTCTATCCTTATATCACTACCATACTGTCTTCATTAGTGGAGCTGTAGTTTGTTTTGTAAATAGAAAGTATGAGTTCTCCAACTTTGATCTTTTTCAAAACTGGGGCTATTCTGGGTCCTATGAATTTTTGGATGAGCCTTCAAACTTGTGTAAAAATTCAGTCATCTAGAATTCTGATAGAGTGCATTAAATATGTAACTCATGCAGGCATGGTGGTGCTTGGCTGTCATCCCAGCACTCTGGAGGCTGAGGCAGGAGGATAGCCGTTAGATGGAGAGCAGCCTAGGTTACATAGTGAGTTCAAACTCAGCCTGAACTACACAGTGAGACCCTGTCTCAAAAAAAAGTGTAGCTGAATGTGAAAAGTATTGTCATCCCAGCAATATTAAGTTTTCTGAGCAATGCACATGTCTATTTGTCTGGATCTTTCAATTTTTTTCAACATTATGCTTTGCAGGGTAAAAAGGTTGCATTTTTTGGATAAACTTATCCTTATTTTAACCTTTTTAATACTACTGCAACAGACCTTTAATATCCTTTCAGTTTGTTCACTGATTCTGTATAAAAATACAAATAAGTTCTGGAATCTTGTAGCCTATAATCTTACTGAACTTGCTTATTCTAATACTTTTGCAAAGACTCCTCAGGATTTTCTATACATATACATCGATCATGTCATCTGCAAACAGAAATAATTTTACTTGCTCTTTTCCCTTCTACCCGTCTTTATTTTCGTTTTCTTTCTTTTTACTTTTTATTTTCATTTTCTTGACTAACTTCCCTGGCTAGAAGTGCCAGTATGATTTTGAGTAACAGTAGTGAGAAGAGATATTCTGGTCCTGTTCTTGATCTTAAGCAAAAAGTATTCTTTCACCGTTAGTAGGGAGTTACTTTATCTTAGGTGCCCACCATCGTGTTGAGGAAGTTATCTTCCAGTCCTAGTTTTGTTGAGTATTTGAGTGTTTTTATCAAAAGCAGTGTTGTATGTATATGTAAGTACATACGTACACACTGGGGACTGAACACAAGGCCTTCACATTACACTGTATCTCCAGCCCTTTTTATTTTTTATTTTGAGACAGAGTCTCACTAAGTCACTTAAATTGCCCAGGTTAAACCTTGTGACTCTCCTGTCTCAGCCTCCTAGAGTGCTGGGATTACACACCTGTATAGCAATGTTGAATTTTCTTTCATTTACTGGGGCAATCATATGGGTTTTATTATTTATCCTATTGATATGATGTTACCTTAATTGACTTGTGTGTGTAAAACTAACCCTGTAGAGGTGGCATAAATTGGTGCACAATCCTTCTTATATATTGCTAGATTTCATTTTCTAAAAATTGGTTAAAAATTTTTGTTTTTGTATCCCTAAGTGATACCGGTCTGCAGTTTCCTTTTCTTGTGATGTCTCTGGTTTTGGTGTCAGGCAGTATTCATCTCACAGAATGAGCAGAGTAATGTTCTACTTTCACTCAAGCATGCATTGATTGACTGATGTACCTGGATTAAACCCAGGGCCTTAGCATGTAGGTGTACCTCCAAGCTCTTTTGTTTTATTTTTGGGATAGGCTCTTGCTATTAGTTTGGGCTGGCCTTGAATTCACTGCGTAGACTAGGCTGGCCTCAAACTCATGACAGTCTTCCTGCCTCAGCCTCCCCAGTGGTGGGATTATAAGCATGTGCCATCACACCCAGCTCCAACACCCTTTTTAAATTTTGAGACAAAATATCACTAAGTCACTAAATTGCCCAGGCTAGGCTTGAACTTGTGATTCTCCTGCCTCAGTCTCCCAGAGGGCTAGGATTACAGGTGCGTTCCACCGTGCCTAAGCATTTTCAATAAAAATAGTAGCCACCTTGATTAGGCTTTTGCTCAGTAACATTCTCCAAAGTCCTTGACAAAAGTCTATCCTGGCACACTGTGCATGTGCTGACCTAGTGTTCCTGCCTAAACCTCTGCTAAACACAGTAAAGGGATTTTATTGGAGAAGGTCAGAAAGTAAATCTGAGCCGGGTGTGGTGGCACACACCTGTGATCCTAGCACTCAGACAGCTGAGGCAGGAGGATCACCATGAGTCCAAGGCTGGCCTGGGCAACACAGTGAGACCTGATCTAAAACAAAACACAACACAACACAGAAAGTAAATCTGACCTGCTGCTTTTCATTTAAAATATTAATAACTTCCAGCCTTTACTGCAACCCTAAATGACAGGGGAAAGCAAACCCCTGAGAAATGTGGAGAATTTCTGGTCCAGAGATAGCAGTACTATCAGTTCTATTTTAGGTTCCTGCTTGAATGGAGGGTGCCAAAGGAACACAGATCCCACCTGGCTCCAGATGCTGTAACATCCCTCACACTGCACAAGAGTGGAATGACCACGTCAGGCTCCCAGACTTCTGGAGGGCATCACATGTGCCCCTATGTCCCATAGCTAAGTAGTTGTAAGCGTTCGTGAAGGGGATGGTGGGTCTGCTCAGGCTGCAGGCTTGAGGTTGGGGTTATCCCACTGAGGGTCATCCTCCTCCAACTTACCTCTCGCCCAGGTAGTCCCCAATGACAGTCTTATTTAATCCTTCTCCTTTATAGAGGAACTGGGCAACATCTTCTGGGGAACTCTGCAGCAGGTCATTTTCAATTAGAAACTGAATTCCCTGAAGAACAGCATAAGACAGGAAGCACCAATTAGGAAGGCCATTCAAATTCAGTTTTAAGGGCAGAAACACAGTGTGATGATCTTAGTGGTTTGGACACAGAAGAAACATCAGAGACCTATGGAACTGCACTATCTGATTTTCACAATACCATACTACATTTTACCCATCAAAGAAAAGTACATACATGTCTTCTGGCAACTTAACAGGTTAAAAGACAAATAAATGGGTTACCGAACAAGCTATTATAAATAACTGTTTCAATCACTGTTCAGACTGACAGTGACTAGAGACAGTAAACTCTGCTTCCCTGAAAACTGCCAGGATCAAGAGAGGGGTGTCTAAAGGAACTGAGGACATCAAGGACAAAGGGATCCCCATGAGAAGCCAGGGGCTAGGGCTGGTCCCTGGCCTGATCATTGGTGATCACCTGGGCTATGACTATGGCACTGAAGGCTGGGAAGCCAGCCTTCTTAAAGAGCTGAGCAACCCAAGGGCAGACCCTGTTGCCCAGGGTTCCTTTGGAGGGACCATGGCTTTAATAGGTTCTTGCATCATTCCTACCCTGTTCCTTCACCCCTCCTAGTTGACCTATAATCTCTGTGGCCACAAGGTTGGGGGCTAGACACTGAGAAGCCAAAGGGTCTGCCATTGTTATCCAAAGCTCCAAAAAATGAATGGGCCTGAGGAAGGCACTGTTCTGGACTCTCAGGACCTGTCCTTGCAAATCAGTACACCCTGAAAACTAGGATGAATCTTAAGAGAGTGCTGTGAAACAACTATAAGGATTTGAGAAAATGAAAAGGTAATTTCTGTGCTTACAGGTCACAAAATGGAGACAGAAAAGGCTGCTAGGGAGGCAAGGCTTTCTTTGCAAAAGATGGAGGCCATGGTCATGGGAAACAGGGAGCCACTGTTCAAGTTCAGATCAGAGACCCTAAGATAAAATGCAGCCAAAAGCCTAAGACAAAGAGGGCAGTTATGAATATAAGAATGCATCTTGGAGAGGTAAGAGGCCAGAAAAGGAGGGAAAGACACAGGAGCAGACTACTGTGAGCATGGTGACAAGTGTCCTCAGAACAGAGACAGTCACGTGAAAGTCGAGGCAAAGATCTGAGTAATGTGCCAAGGAGCACCACGAAATGCCAGGACAGGCCTGGAAGGGATTCCCCCTCAGAGGTTCAAGGAACACCTTGATCTTGGATTCTGGCTTCTCGAACAGCAGGAGAATAAATTTTTGTATTCTAAGCCAGGCAGATTATGGCTAATTTGCTAGGGCAGCACTAGGACACTGACACACTGAATAGGGAATTACTCATAAAAGAAAGCAAATGTTTCATTAGAAAATTTTAATATTTTAAAACATTGCTTAGAAAAATCAAGCAGAAAATAGTGGCCACCATTTAACCCATTAAATTTAGTATCTAGTTCTGTATTTCTAACCTGCCTATTACTTGCCCTATATGTGTCCCTCAAAAAAAGCTGGAAATTTTTTAAAAATCTAATAACCAAAATTTTTGTTTTGTTTTGTTTGAGACAGGTCTCCCTATGTAGCTAGCCCAGGCTGGCACTGAACTCTCAGTCCTCCTCCTCCTCCTCCTGCTTCAATTTCTTGTGTGCTAGTTTCTGTTTTTTAAGAAGTTCATTTGCCCTGGTCAGATCTATGATTATTGATTTGTGAGGACTTCCTCCTGGCCTCTTATTTTGTGTTTTTTCTTTGTTTTTTGTTTGTTTGTTTGTTTTGTTTTGTTTTTATCCCAGTACTGGGAATTGAACTCACGACCTTGCACTTGCCAGGCAGGCGCTGTGCCACTGAGCTAAATCCCCAGCCCCTGGTTTTTTTTCTGGTACTGGGAATTGAACTCACGACCTTGCGCTCGCCAGGCAGGCACTGTGCCGCTGAGCTAAATCCCTAGCCCTGTGCTTTCTATTTCACATGACTTTTCAGCCTTTTGTTAAATTGATCAAGTTTTCTTTATTCAAGCTTTCCTAATAACTTATAGATTCTATTTAATTCCTATCTGTAGTGGCTACTCTTAAAATTTTAACAACTATCTAAACTTATATTTACCTATCAGCATCTAGGAAACCTTAGCAGACTTACACTTTCCTTTTTATTTTACTTCTCTTTTTATTTTCATTTTCATTTTGTCATTTAGACAACCGTAAACTCCACCCCACATCCTTGCCAATACAAGGAGATTAAACCTAAGGATGCTCTATCAACTGAGTTACATACCCTGCTCTTCTCTTTAAAAAAAAATCATATAGTAATAATAATTTTGAGATGGTCTCGCCAAATTGCCCAAGTAGCACTCAGATTTGGGACCTCCTGTTTCAGCCTTCAAAGGCTAGGATTATAGGCTTGCACCACCACACCTGGTTTATCTATAAATATCGCATATCTTTTCTATCCTATAGAGTCGTTTTGGGAGAGGGATTGGAAGTATAATCCTCCAACTTCTCAATTACTAGACTCAGGGGAGAAGTCTTGGTGGCCAATTGTTTGAGTCCTTGCATGACTGAAAATGTCTTTATTTGCCCTTCTTCTGAATTATGGTTCAAGTAGACAGAATTCTCAGTTTTAAGACTCTTTTTCTCAAACCCTGGCTCTGTTTCCCTGCTCTCTTTGATCCACCGTTTCCTGATAACAGGCTCATTTCTTCTTTGATGGCCTAGTCTTTTCTTTCTGGAAAATTTAATTACTTTCTCTTTACCACAAGTTTTATGATATTTTATTCAATACATCTATATACAGGTCTTTCAAAAATTTATACTGCTTAGCATTTGTTAAGGCCTGTAAATCTTAGAGGATTTTATCTTAGATGTGCCCTAAAATAATCCAAGGTTTCCTTAAAACATTTCCTGTGTTTCATTTTAAATTGTTTCCTTTCAGACTTCGATTGGATGAAATCTGGTTTGCTGGACTCATCTTCCATGTCTTATAACTCTGCAAAACAGTAGAGAGAATTATTACACTCTCTTTAGGCCTTGAATGCACGTTGAAGCAACATACTCTCTGGGCACAGCCCAGAGTTCACAAGACACCCCTATTTATTTCCAACATTCTTACATCGTCCCACTTTGGTATCGTGGACAGGGACCATCCTATCAATCTCTTTAATGATATTTATAAGATATGCAAATATCCTACTTTAAAGTTTCCTTCCATTGTCTCTATCAGGACTGTTTCCTCCTCTTTCAGTTATTCAGTTTTCTAATAACTTATAAATTCTATTTAATTCCTATCTGTAGTGGCTACTCTTAAAATTTTAACAACTATCTAAACTTATATTTACCTATCAGCATCTAGGAAACCTTAGCAGACTTATACTTTCCTTTTTATTTTATCCAATTTGTCCAGTTTCTTTTTTTTTGGTTTTTCTCCGGTACCAGGAACCGAACTCACGACGTTGCGCTTGCCAGCCAGGCGCTTTTGCCGCTGAGCTAAATCCCCAGCCCCCAGTTTGTCCAGTTTCATGTCTTTGTCAGATAGTGATCTCCTCAAGTGTTTGTCGGTAGGTGGCTGAGAGTTTATCTCTATAAGTAAGTCACTGGCAACTCCTGGATGCTGTCTGCTCTTAGTTTCTAATGCAGCCACCTCTCATGACTTGGTAGAGTAGCACTTAGGTGGTAGAACCTTTCCTGAACAGCATCGATCCTTCCTCACTTGATCTCATGTATCTTCTTCCTTGCAGAGAGTCTTCAATTTCTACTCCACTAAACTCCTTGTTATAAATTTAAGTATTTTTCTTTTAAAGGCATTTTAGGACATTAGGAATCTAAAGGGTGGTAGAGATTTTTTTTAGCTTCCTCAATTTAACCAAACCTTTCCTTTTATTTATAAACCCAAGTGCTACTTCTAGAATCTAAGGTGCCTGAACAAACAAGCGCTCCTTTCTTAAAATGTTATCATCTTTCTGCTAGCTTCAAAGAATGTACTTTAAGGATATCTTCATGATTCACAATATTACAAGGCTTAATAAGGATATGGGGGAGGATATAATTTTAAATTGCATCTGCAGCATATGAGATTATTTGGTATAGCTATAGACTAAATATTTGTGTCCCCCTCAAAATTTATACATTGAAGCCCAAAGCCACACAGTGGCAGTATGTACATATAGGGCCCCTGGAAGTAGGGTGAGGTCAAGTCATTTGAGCAGAGCCCCAAGGTTTAAGATTGGTATCATTTTAGGGAGAAAGACCCTGGAGTGAATTGCTCCCCTCCCTCACCATGTGAAGATTCAGCAAGAAGGAATCTGTCTGCAAACAGAAAAGGGGCTCTCACCAGAGCCTGGCTATGGTGGCATTCTACTATCAGACATGCAGCACCCAGATCTGTGAGAAAATAAATGTTTGTTGTTTAAGCACCCAGTGAACAGTATTTTGTCACGGCAGCCAAGTGACTAGGACAAGTGCCATAACCAAGACTATAAACCACATAATTTTGATAATTTTCCCAGCAAAAGCCTGAAAGCAGACTAAACATACCTTCTGCTTTTATTGGGCAGTGTAATTACAGATAAGCCATTAAGAAGAATCAGATGGAAGTAGTCTGTGTGGCCATCAGCAGACGAATGGATAAAGAAAATATAGTACATAAATGGAGTACTACTCTGCCATAAAGAAAGATAAAGGAGTTATTTGTAGGAAAATGGATGCACCTGCAGACCATAATATTACATGAAATAAATCACTGCCTGGTATCTCATATGAGAAACCTAAATTATAAGATAGAGCAAAATAAAAAGATAAATAGTAATTAGGGAGACAGATCCTTCTCAAATGGGAAGGGAATCAAGAGATGGAAGGAAGAGGAAAGGAAAGGGGGGACAGGAGATGAGAAAAGGAATTAGTATTGCTACATACACGCACTAATTCCAGACAAGGAATGTACAGTGTTCATTGGGAATTGCAAACATGTACTAACAAAAAATTAATTTTAAAAATGTTATCTTTTAGGTGAAGTGGGACACAAAACAAAATCTGCTAAGACATTCACAACAGCCTGATTAAACTCCTCCTTCTTTGGACATGACAAGCAGATGCTACGGAAATGACTAGACTGTCGGGATTCAGCTTCTTATGAACCAAACAGGCTCCAGCCAGCTCAGCAGGCAGCCGTGGCTGCAGGACCTGGTCTTGCAGTCATGTTCTCATTCAGGACAACAGGTGCTCCTCAGCTGCTCTGTGCCTCATTTTACCCAACTGTGAGACAGGAATTAAAATGGAACTTCCCTACTGTTATGGTTGATACATTGTGTCAACTTGGGGAGTCTAGAGGTTTGGCTAAGTGACTCAGCAGGAAGCCAAAGTGCTTACTTTGTATACATCCTGAGCCTGTGGAAGAGGAGGGCATGGAGATTATGTGAGAGCTACACGCCCCTTAGGTGAGGGTAGCCTGTTTACAATGTAAGGGAGGGAAAGAGGCTGCTTGCAGCCATTCCTCCCTTTTGCTTTGGCTGCTTTGCTGTTTGGCTGCCATTCCCCCCTTTGCTCTTGTTGCTTTGCTATCTTCTGCCTCAGAGCCAGCCAAGTATGGACTGAAACCTCCACAAACTGTAAGTTAAATAAACCTTTCCTTCCTTCATTTTGGGCATTGGGTATTTTGTCTCAGCAACAAGAGAAAAATAACCAAGACACCTACCTCATAAGTTGTAAGGACTAAATATATTAATAGAAGTGCTTCCCTCTGTGCTTGACAATCATGAAATTCTCAGTGTTAGCCCTTATTACTGTACTTCTGACACGTGGTACATATGAAGTACACACTGTGAAACTGACTCCTGATGCACAGTGGTAGCATCACTTTAAAAAAATTCAGTATTTACTGTACTGTGCAATTCATGAGACACGAACTTATCTATGAGCTTACTGATGTGCTACTCAGTGCTAAAACATGAGTTCCAGTTCTAAAAACATTCAGTTTTGTAAAGCATCCTCCATTACTTCCAATGCTTATAAAATCTACTGATAATTTAACTCAGTAAACTCAACTCCTAAAGGAGGAAAAATAAAAACCTGATACTAACCCCAAATATCAAATCATTATCAAATCCACAAAATCATTCCTGCCAACAACTTCATGCCATTTTGGAGGTGAATTAACAAACAACAGACAGTTTTCACAATGGGTCAAACATACCAGGTAAACAAAACCCAACCCTAGCTATTGGTATGCTGTGCTCTAAGAAAATCCAAAGCTGCAAACCATAAATCAGGAACAAATGAGAGCAGTGACACAGCTCTCTCTATATTGCCCAGGTTGTTCTCAAACTCCTCCATTTAAGCAATCCTCTTGCCTCAGCCTGCAAATAGCTGGGAGTACAGGTGTGCAGCACCTCACCTAGCTTGACTGATATATCTTTGTAACTGCACTTATAAGTTTACAAATCTTAGAACCTGTGCAGTGTAATTCCTATAATCAATCAACATTTATTGAATGAACAAACAATTTAACAATTAGTACTGAGGTTTGGTGTCAGACAAACAAGGAAAATGTCAGAAGTGAACACCAGTCACAGACCACTAGTAATGAATAAGCCAGCTCTGCGTCAGAACAACTTCCTATGCCCTTGCCTCTCCTCTAGCTCAAGCCTCTGTGGCTGACTGAGGTCTACTCTTCTCTCTCAAAACCAAACAGCTTTTACATATTCTGCCAAATCCTTACAACTCAGTTTCACAAACAGCAGGTTTCGCGGTCTTGAGGTGATGTCCTAGAAAATTTAACTTGAGGAAAGAAAAAAGTGGTGGCTAAACTCTGGAAGGATATCTTGTTCTATCAGAGCCTTTTTGAGGGCAAAAGGAAGAAATACAACCTTCTGGCCAGGGGAGGTGGCACACACCTATAATCTCAGCACTCAGGAGGTTGAGGCAGGAGTAAAAGTTTGAGGCCAGCCTAGACTACAAAGTGAGTTCAAGGCCAGCCTGAACTGCATAGTAGAACCCTGCCTTAAAAGGAGAAAGAAAAGAAAAGAAAAGAGAAGAGAAGAGATGAGGGGAGAGGAGGGGAAGAAAGAAGAAAGGAAATCAAGCCTCTTATTTGGACTATTTAACCCACTCACATAATGAAATATATGAATTATATACCTGGACTCTGCTTCCACCTCTAACCACAACTAATCATGTTATTACCTATATTAGTTAGAGGCTCCTTCACACACCAAGACTTAGGAGATAAACCTCAAGGATAGAGTTCCATAGCATGGACTAAACAAGGGTTGCTGGTTACTATTCTGGGGCCTCATTAAGTAGCACCTCCCTTTTTATATAAGATAATGTCAACTCCATCTTTTTATGAAGTGACCACCTTTGTGAAAAGAGAAGCAGCCATTAAAATAGATCAACCAGTCGGTTGCATGTCAGAAAAGTGGAAGTATACACTTACCTTTTTGGGGTCCATGTTGAATTTCTTTCTTCCCATGGCTATTTGCTTGTTCCTCTGAGTAGTTTTGCTATTCATTTGAAATGATGGAAAAATCATTAGCAGGGAGTGACAGAGGGCAGTGTCTCATACAGCACAGCCCTTTAGCACTTTTTCCCTTTCACAACACTCAGCAAAGGGAAAAGCACTGGTACACTCTGAGGAGCTGCCACCCTCCACCTGGAGCAGAAGATGTGTGGCTGCGTTGGCACTTTCTTTACATGTGATAACTTGAGATATACTTCTGAAGAAGCTGACAATGAAAACCAGTGATTTTTTTTAAACTAAAAGCGGACAGTTCCTTATGACACAGTAAGATTGTTTCTGAGTAGTTAATTCTGAGCGCCTGTGAGACTGTGATAGAAGGGGACTTAGAGAAAGTGGGGGATAGGAAGTAAGCTCCAGAGACACAACCTCTGCTTCCACAGAGAACACAATGGAGGCAAGGGCAGGAAGGAACAACAACTCCAAGGCCTCCCCTTCCCATATCAGCCCTCTCATCCTGCTATGGTCACCAGTTGGTAAATTCAGGTAGAGGATGAATACAGAGCAGAGACTGACACACTTTAAGGTATAACCATAAACATTTTACCTTTCCTCCACTGAAGTTAGGTTGTCAATCTCTGTCATCACTTCCGCAATTTCATATTTCAGCCTCTATCAAAAAGAAGAAAGTGTGGGGTCTTAACATTCCTCCAACCTAGGCTCAGAGAACTTTCACCTTCCAGGTACAAGCTTCCTGAGGGTTCATCTCATCAACACAGGTCCAGAAACCCAACACTTTTGCAGACACAGTTAGAGCCTCAAAGTCAAATCAAGCACAACTTAGGAGAAAACAAAACAATGTGTCCACTTCTCATCAGGTACTCAAGAAGAGGAGCTCCCCAGGCAGATTCTAGAGTACTTGTGTGTAAAATCAAGAAAGGACACAGGAAGCATCAGAGGTAAGAAAAATAAAACCACTGAACTGCATCCATTCCCTGCTACCCAGCACAGGCCTGCTGCCTTTCCCTCTAGCACTGCCTGTTCTTCAGAGACCAGGGGACGCTGAAGCTCAGATTTAAGTGGCATCAAGTTAGCAAGGCAGTGATCTCAGGGTGATTTCTGTCCCTTTGTAAGACAAGAAGCACAGGGACAGGGACCAAAGAGTGAAACCAGATCTGCATCTCTGGTACTCAGAGATGCCACAAACAAGTGTGTGTGTGTGGGGGGGGGGGTTTGGACAGAGACAGGACAGCACATCTTTTCCCTGGTATGTCCCCTACCGGCTGAGAGACCCTTGCCAGTCTCCTAGGCACTCTGGGTTTTTGTGTTTGCACTGACAGAATAATGCAGTCAGAGCTAAACTGAGATTCATAGTCATCAGCATATGATTACTAGTGTCCAGATAAAATATATTCTTATTTGTCAGCCAAAGAACTTATTCTGACCTACAGGATTTTTCCAGGAATGAAGGATAACCCTAGAATAAAAATGTCCATGATTATCTTTCAAAGACAAAGAAATTTTTATTAAGAACCCTATTTTTGTGCGCCAAGAAATTCAGACTTAAAAAGTTAGTTCCTAGAAAGGAGTTATTGTCTCAGACAAGGTCTGGCCCTATGGTGAGTGGCCTGTGAGGCCACATTTATTTTGGCAGTGACAATGACTAAGAAGCTTCTCAAAGAGCCTTTCCCAAGGAAGTAAGGCCTACTGAATAATTTTTGTAGAAGTCACAGGCACCCCAGCTCTGAAACTGTGGCTGTATTCATTTTTGTCTCCTGTGGTACACCCCCTCCACCCTGTTGTCTGGGTAAAGTACGCAAATGTGGGAATGGTAATGTTTATTCCTCTGTGTTTTATTCATCTTTGTCATTCCACCCCTACCACCTACCAGGCACTCTATACATAGCTGGAACCCTACCTATTATTCATTCAAGGGACATCTGAGTGCCAAAAATGGAATAAGGAGTGCTATAGGTACTCAAAAAAAATTTTTTTTTGGTACAAGGAATTAAACTCAGGCTCTCAAATATTATACACAATTTTTTTTCTTCTGGTGGTAGTGAGGATTGAATACAAAGCACTTGTACTGAGCTACATCCTCAACTCTTTATAATTTTTATAAATTTTGGACAGGTTTGTGGAGAACCAGCAGGATGGCTCTCCTTGAAAGAAGAGCATGTGTCTCCATATTGGCTAAGTGTGGCTGAATTCCGTGTATTGATATATGTAGGCCGGGGTAGGACATTTCTTTACCCTCCTCAGTTGGCTTTAAGCAACACAATTGGTCTAGCAGAGATGCTGATGTGTAGCCTTTAAAGCAATGCGACAGGTCAGTGATGCCTCACCTATAGTTTTCAACAAGTATATGTAAGCTGGACCAAGTGCCACTGTCAGCCACACGGTTGGCTGAGACTGAGGCTTGAGAAAGAACCCGTGATGTCCCAGGGCAGGAAGGCTAGACATTAAAACTGAAGCACCAAGCCCAAAACACAAGACAGTTCCTCACACTGTGTTATGCAGATTACTCTGTCTGCAGACCTCTCTCTCTGCATGCTGCAGACGTGCTATTATGCCTCCCACCTAGCCCAGCTCACAGCACTCATGTACTTCCCACCATTCCTGCAGTCACTCATCCCTGAGTCACTTTCCTCTTCACAAATTAATAAAAACCAGGTTTAGTGCTGGGTTAAGGCCTTTGTTCTGGTTTGCCATTTTTCTGACTGGACTTAGGGCGCCCTTGACACCCCACCACTATAGATATGGGTTTGTCACTTTATTTGTGCTGTAGATTACACTGGAAGTGGTAGACTGGAATTACCTACTGCAATTCAAATAACTTCACCCTGGGATTGCTACAGGAATAGAAACACTGAAACACACCCAAGATTTGGAGGTAGATTTATTTTACATCGAAGGGCATTGAAGGGGATTTATTCCCAAAATATCAGGCCCCAAAGGCCCAGGGAAGGAGGTTTTCAAGGAGTTGAAAGCAGAAGTACAGAGGCAGAGTACTTGGCTGACTTTGATTGGTTCTTAAAATATGCATCACAGTGACCAGCCAATTCTAAGAGACAGAAGTAACAGGAACTTGTAACAGGAGCTGTTGCCTGGGCAAATAACTGGCTAGCGGGACATTTTCTGCTACAGGATTACAAATGTGGACTCCTCCAGCCCATGATGAGGCCAGAGTGGGTCTCATCTAAAAGGGTCTCACTAAGTCACAATACTGCCTAGGCTCTGCTTGAGTTTGACATCCTCTCATATTAGCCTCCCAGAGTGCGAGGATTACACAATTGTGCCACCAAATGCAGCTTTACTACAGGATCATGGAGGGCAAGCTGTTATAGGCTGCTGCTCCTCTTGTTTAAATCTTCCACCTGTAACTGGGACCCACAAGCATAGGCTCCAATTCCACCATCGTAACTTCTGTCTCAGACTGTACTGTCTGGCGTGAAGAGTGTTTCACTAGTTTCAGACAACTCTTTGCTTTGTTTCTCTATGTAGTTCTTACATACACAAACTAAAACCCATTTTTCACACTTCCCTGAAGCTCTTCACTATTTTACCCAAAAGCAAAAATGAAGAGTTTTCTTTGTACCTCAATGTCATCAATAAGTTCCTTTTTTCTTCGACGAATGTCCAAAAGTTCTTCTCTCTCTTCTAATGAGAGGTCTTCAGGCACTGAAAGAAAAAAATCAGTTCAATAACAAGTGCTTTAAAGAATCATCTGGCAGTGTCTGTTAAGGCTGAAGATGAGGGCGGGCAGCTGGAAGGCTGAATGACATCTTCTTCTCCTTCCCACTGCTCACCAAGCCCATTGCTTTACCTTTAAAGCATAAAACAAAGGCTAGCACACAGCAAACACGGCTGAGGGCAGGGGCACCCCACCAAAACTTGTGGGTAAGATAAATACTGACACCTTCCCTAGTCTTCCCCTCAGGGCTCCAAGACCACAGAGCAGGC